TTATCTTAAAAAAGAGCCTAGCCCCAAAAGCTTAATTTGTTATCCTACTAAAGCTACCTGAATGTTAGCAATGAGCTATAAAGCTAAAAAAAAAAAGAAGAAGCTACAAGCTAACCAGAAAGAGCTAGTTGAGTAGTTAAAAATCTAGCAATAATTATGTGTTACTACTTACGGACTAAAGAATAAAGACTAGAACAACTTTAGGTTGGACCAAAACCCGTATCAGCTGTCTGCCACACGGCATAACTTTCAGTGTTTAGAATGGGGGTGTTGTTGGTAGACCCTGCCTTTCATGGATGAGTGATCGCTCTCATTGTGACAGCCATGTTACTGCCCCCTCCCAAAACTCTGAACTAATAAAGCGAAGGAATTGAGATTTTGACACCGGCCTGACCCCCAGTATGAACCCTTTGCGTGGCATGTCAGGGGTGACCTTCTGTGGGGATCACAGGTCAAGGTCTTAAAACAAGAGCAGCAACATCTTGGCACCCAAAGCAACCTGATGCCCATCTGGAAGACGTTAGCACAAACATAGAGAAGTTTTCACGTATGAATTCTGATCTCCGTGTCTAGATCGAAGTTCAAATAAATCAATACAACTTCATGAAAAACATTAAAACCTGACAATAATGAATATGGATGTGGCTGGTGATTCAGAGAAGGCTTAATCTGCAGAGCTCTTGAGCACGAGTTTTCAGAGCAGCCTCCATCTGCCAGACTCACACACACTTCCCCTTGTGTTTTAATGTCCTGGCCTTATATTGAAAACAATGGGGGCTGGACGGCTGAAACTGCAGCCTGCTGACACCAAGTGAGTCAGCCAGTAATTCATTCATTCAGTGATGCCTAAAAGTGGTAGTCCATGTGTTGTGCCGTAAAAGGTAACTTTCTTCATAAATGTTGTACACAAAGGTATCTGTGTGCAGTTTGGTTGACATTTCAATCGTTTTCAGTGTTCTTCATGTTTAGCTCCTCATCACCGGCCTGTGAATGGTGCTGAAACTTGTTTATCATTGGATTACACTGGTGTTATTATCGAGTTATGTTAAATTTGTAGTTCGCTTTGTATTTAAGAGTTTTGTTTTGAGAAATATAATTCTTTGTATATATCCAGTGCCAACCCTCAAAACAAACTATATTTCAAAATATGTTCATTAGGTGTGTAATATTTCTTGGGTTTATGGTTTTGCCTTAAGAATCAATAGATTTTTAACTCCTGCACAGACTTGTCTGCTAAAATGTCTAGGTTTGATGAATGAGTCAGGTCAGAGTTTAAGAAAAGACAGCTGATTGTTATTTTTTTGGGACACTGCTTGTGTCAGTATGTGCAAACGGATGAGCAAGTGGTTAATAAATGACCACGAGTGACAGGCCAGGATGGAAGATAAATGAGAGCTGCTTAGGCAGGATGGAATCAATCACCGGGTGTTAGCTCTAAATGCTCCCTGCGGAGAATGAATTAAACAGTAAAGGTGCAAAACTTCACTATCCTGGCGGCTGCACACACACACACACACACACACACACAGTGGATTTAAAAAATCTTCTGGGAAAGAACCTGTCTAAATCCAAACCTCTGAAGTGAGATTTACTGTCCTGCAGCCAAGGATTTTGAACATGAATTAATGAGCAAAGTCAATAGACACGCACATTTGAAATTAACTCTCAACAAAACCCTTCTCTGAAAATTGAGACTTAGAAACCTATGTGGCGACATTTCACGATTCAGGTTTTAAGAGGAGGTGCTTTTTGATGAGCCGTCAGAGAAACTGGAGGTGAATAGAAATGAAGCCAAATTGATATGCAGAGCTATAATCCTCTGAAATAACTCGTCTGAGCTCTTCTGCTGGGTACATTCAAAACTTCGGCTCAAAATTCTGCAGGTCATTTGTGAGAAGAAAAGGGACATCGATATATTGATGACTACCTCTCTGTTGGCTGTTAATAAAATCAGACATTCAGGTATTGTTTTGAAAAGCCCTGGGTTCACACAAAAAATAATCACCTCCAGTGTTGTGAGTGGGATCAACAAAGAAATCCCCATCCATTTGGGAAAATGAAAACCAAACCTCAGCAGAGATTAATAACACCAGCCACAGTCTAGACACAAGACAGGAAGAAAACACGGAGGAGCTGTGGCAGTCACTGGTCACGGCCACTTTGATTCATCCGATAGGGAAGTCTTTTTCTTGCTCCGTCTGCTGCCACCCACCATGACTGTGGCTCTAACAACATGAAGCCTTTAGTCAGTGAATGCTCAACCTCCGGTGTATCTGCCGTCTCTCTGAGTGTTTGTTATAACTAGGTCAGAGGGGTGAAAATAAAGAAGGGGGAGGAATTTTCAACGCAAGTTAATTTATTTACCGTTTACCTTCTTAATAATGATGTGTGTCTAGATATAAAGCAGGAGAATACTGCAGCATAACAGATAATCTTAGCAATAAATTATTATAAATAAACATACCAACCTATGTGGAAATGGATTTAAATTAATTATTCCATGGCCCATTCTTTTCAAATTAGTTAATAAAAAACAGGAGATGACGAGTCAACCCTCATCGTCAACTGAGGACCCTCTGTGCTCAGAACATATATACTGTACCTACATACACAGAATTATCTGGGTGTGTTTGATGAACTTTAACAAAGTAAGTTGACTTTCCTTCAGTCTATAACTCTAGCCTAGTCTATAAACACGTCGTGGATAGAGAAAGTATTTTTACTTTACTGGAAGTGGTGAAACCACATGCAGAGGACCTTCAGTGTTTACAAATCACAAACCTCACAGCTGTGTACAAATCGTAAAAGACAACAACCCGCGACGCTGTGTTCAAAGCACATGACAAACAATCAGTTAGCACTTTTGGAAATCCCTCAGACTGGAAGCTTGTAGTGAAGGAAGTAACACCTTTCTGATCACTCTGACGTCTCACACTTCTTCACTGAACCCTCCCACTGCTGACCATTGTACCCCAGAGGAATGACAATGACTGTCCTCTCTGTTCCCCGGGACATCAGGGGGGCGAGGGTGGGGGGTCGTCCACTTTCTCTTCTCCACTTCTTGTGTTGCCTAACCAGACACAAACAAGCATTGTTCTTTAGCCCGGCTGTAGCCCTGATGCCCATAGACTGTCCCTGTTTATAGACCCACGACTTAATTGTGGTCGTTTCACAAAAGTGTCTTTTCACTGAGCGGCTTCCTCATTATTATTGAAGACACCGAGAGAGTGACGAGAGCTAATAGTTAGACTCCACTCTTGTTACATTCACATATGTTCTTTTTAGTGTTGTCATTTGGATTTAGAGTGCACCACAGTTCACAGCCACGTCTGCTCTCTGATGATTGGTCCACCTCCATCCACGACGTCCAATTATGGATCATTGACCTTTCAATACCCGTGAAAACATATTGTGTCTGAACTGAAATGAATCGCAATAATAAAGTCAAAACTTTAGGATTGTTCTGTAGTATGTTTCTGGTTGTATCTCAATCTCAGGAGTTCTATGTAGCTCTGAGGGTGTTGATTGGATAACACCTCCACCTACATTTGCAATTGAAGACCTATAGATTTACAAATTCTCCTGCTCTTGTTATTTGCTTCTCTCTGCTAAGTGAGTACAGTAGTTAAGTCATTGCTGTTAAATATGCAGGGTTTTGTAACGGGTGCTAAGAATATAAACATGGGCTAAAATTGACGCATATATAAAGGACAGAATGCTTTGAATTTCAGGTTTCAACTGTGACTGTTAAAAGCAAGAAAATGTATTGATTGAAATTCTCCAAAACAACCAGCTCCCCAGTTGTGTAACATCCAGATATTTAAAAAGACCAAAGACTTCTACATAAAACAACATCAATTTTCTGGTATTAGTCAGAACCAAAATAACCCCGGGGTAAAACAGAATGACAAAACATATTGTAAAGGGGTTTATGTTTTTAGGCACAGAACAACCTTACTGCCCCCTTGGCTTATAATGGATTTTATTTCCGCTAATTATGTTCTCTGTTATTCTGCCAAGTCCATGTGTAGCACCAGCAGAAGGCGGTGGGCCCTCACACTCAGTTTAGCACTCCGTGCTCCCATAATAACAGTACTGACGTCACTAGCCACCGATGGACACATGCTGCCTTCAAGTTCTCTTCTCCACGATTTGATTTTTGAGCTTCATGCGCTGTGGAATCCAAATGAATATGTCGGAACGTTGGGACAGGTGGAAATAGAAAACTTGATTTAGTGTAAGGCAAGCTATCGCACCTTTATATAATTCAATGACAGTCTTGCTACTACAAGACCCATTGCGGGCCCATGTTCTAAGTTGTTTCGTTATGTCATGTAACAATAAAAAGTGTATATAGAAAAATCATAACCCTCATCCACAAAAATGTATAGTTGGAAAGTTTTGGTGAAGTACTACTAAATCTTCAAAAAACAAAACAAAACAAAATTGAATTATATGGGGAATAATGTCGTGCTAGTAAAACGGCTCAAATTTGACCTGCACTAGAGTATTTTGTTTGCAATGAAATACATATGAATGCAATACTAATACAGGTCACAAAAATGACACAGTGAAATGTTATTGTAGAGTTTTATACTTACAGTTTTAGGATATTCAGTGTCTCATAAATCTAACTGAACAGTAAAACAATGCTTTATACCATAGGATAACCTTGTATGGTGTAAGGTATTAGATTTCAATGATAAATACACAAAATAAAACCCACTTGCTACATGTTTCGTTCTATTTGTTCCCGGTAAATACCATAAAGAATTTCACTCATAATAAAATTGACTTACATCGTTATTTCTTATCTCTTCCACGAGGCTGTTATTATCAAATGCACCTTTGCTTTGTTAGCTTAATCGACTCCTTTCTTCCAGATGTTTTGTGTAAGCCTTAGATGAGATATCGCGCATTGTTTTAATGGTTGTTACATAAACACGTCACGGGGGAGGCTACTTTACATGACCAGACTGTTCCTCTGGAATGTACGACAGTACTTGAAGGCAGCAGGCTGCAAAGTGTAGGAGCGGTGATTGAGTCTGGGAGCAGAGCCGCGGAGGTGACGACGGCCATCTTAGACCTTCGCTCATCTTCTGGATTTTATTTGTCTTATTTTGTAAAAAAAACACAAACTGACTGACGAAGGAAAAAAGAAGACCCCGTCTTTTACGTCGCCGCGGTTGAACTCAAAGTCGAGATGCGGTTCCGAGGCAACACACGATTTGCATCCGCTGTCGGACTGCTCTTCGGACTATTATGTGCGGTGGAAGCAGCCAAAGGTAACTAAGCTGGGATTTATCTATGTCCCTGTGGTGCTGTTCAGTCACGCAGCTTTTAATGGTTTGTGGTCAGTAAAACGCAGGTGTTCTCTTGAGTTGTGTGGTCGTGTACGCACAGTGGTTGAAAGGAAAAAAAATATTAAAGAGGCAGTGATGCGGTCCGGAGGGATGCCTGTTCACCAACCTGCTCAGGGATGGTTCAGCTCCGCAGCCGCAGCTGCTGCGGATGGAAGTATCCCTGGTAGCAAGTGCATCCCGCTGTACTGCGTCAGTATTTTATCCATAACACCACAAAACCTCTAATTGTATTACACTTTTACATGTCACTTTTGTATATGAAGGTGAAAATATATTACATGTGCCTATCCTGGTGAAGGGTAACGGTATAGAGATAACATCAAGGCCATGAAACGACCCCCTTCTGTCATCTGCAATCGGGCTATTTTTAGGTGCTCGTCCCTTCCTAAGTCTTTTCTCATTTTCATATCCTTTTAAGATGTAACTAACTACTTTTTCATCCTCCCGTGACGATTTAACTCTTTTGTTTAAATTCCTGGCCGCATAGAATTTTATTTTTATAATATTTGACATAGATATATATGAAGGAATTTTGTGGCTGGCATTGTGCTTAAAACAGGATTGAGCTCGGTTGGCTACGCAATGCAGATGATCCTCTTCACATGCTTCTGTTGTTGCGTGTTTGTTGTTTGTAATATATATATATATATATATTTTTTTTTTTTTTTTCACGTCGCTATCACTGAAAAGAAACCTTAATCCGTCATGTTCTCCAGGTCGCCCACATTTAGGTGGATTGGCTTTAGCTGAATCAGTATTGATTTCGATTCTCCGCCTTTATATCTATCAGTAATAAAGGTGGGGTCCGATACTTAGTTAAATAATGTTCTCATTCTAAGCATCTATTTTTAACTCTGACAAAATAGAATAATACAAGATGGTTTTGCACTATCCACTACTGTGCTTTACATTTATAAAACCAATTTACAATTTAAGGAACAAAAATCTGAGCAGAGGTAAATATCATGTACCATTAAGTTACTTTGTAAAGATAGATTATGCTGGATTTTTTGGATGTTTGGTTTAATTTGTAGTTACATTTGATCTCTGCTTGTATTTTCTTTATTATCTTTATTTTAAAGTGGTCAAGACTTTATTTGTCATAGTTTTTACCTTTTGGAAGAAGGGAGTTAGAGAATTGGAGGAGTTAAATTAGCCAGTGACCTTGGATAAGCCTGGCTATAATAGACTAAAACACTAAAACAAGAAGTTAAGTCAAATAATTTTTTAAGTTAAGTAGAGTTTTTTAAATCACCATTCTTATCTTTCAATATTTTCTGCCCCACAGCAATTAATCATCCTGCATGAAATGCACTGCACTTTATCTTTTTCTCCAAAGTACCACAAAATTTATGAAATCTCTTCACTCTTTTCAATCTTTTATGATCTTATCTCTCAATCTTTTATGTTAGCCATGCATGCTAAGTCACAAAACACAAATCAAAACACAGGTGCATTTTCACATATTCAGTAAAGTGTTATCAGCATGTAACCTACAATCTATAAAGGTAACCCTATTTTTTTTCTCATTGGTAACTAGAATCCAAAATCTCAGATGTAGCTTATACTCAGTTCTATTTCGTGATTTTCAAGTGTCTTTTTCCTGCTCAGGTTATTGCAGTGATTCAGTTTAAACACACTTCATTGGCTTGAGCTCCATTAGACAGGGTGTGCATTTGAACTCTGGTTCATATTCATCATGGTGGCCAGTATCAGCATGTTTGGGCAGTCACCAGTGCTGTAGGCCAGTGTGAACAGTTTTCCTCTAATCTTACAACCGTTTTAATTTCAACAAACAACAATAAGAGCATGAAAGAGATGTCTGATCCCCTAAAAATCACAAATGGGCCTTTTTCTATTGCCACATTTTACTCCTGTTGCCATGTCAGGCAGCTGAGAATGTGCAGTACCAGGAGGCAGTAACTTTGTTAATTTCTTTGATCATCAATCAAAAAGGCTACATGCTGGAAGCAGTGTGTCTCAGGTGGTGAGTTTATTATGTTTGTTATGTATTCTCACGTGTTTCTGTGAAATGCACCTGCTGGCTTCAATTCTTATCAACAAAGAAGGCCTGTGAAATTACCATCTTTGCTGGAGCTTATCTCCTGCTGACCAAAGTTCACTTATTTATTCTATGAGCCACAGTTTGTCACCTGCTATCCAGCTTTTAGTGAACCAACTTGTAGATTCATCTTGTGGGTTCGAGCCTCTGCCTCTTGTTAAGATTTTAGTCAAAGCTGATAAAAATGTTATGGTAATGTTACTGCACAAACAGACTGAACTAGTTTGAGACATAAGAAACACAAAACCCTGTTGATCGATAATCTTTTACCTACATACGTGAGGAAAACAATTTTTGCAGTTATGTTTTTAATTGTTTGTTGTCTGCCATTATCTTTAGCAATAAAGATAGGACACGCAAACATTTGAATTATGATGCATGTCCCTTGTTCCAAATGTTTTTCCCATGTGATGGGTTACCATGAGCAGCGTATATCTCCACAGTGTGACATTAAAGGATAGGTCTGCTGAGATACACAAGTTTCTCTGGTGAGCTCAAGACCAGACAATAGAAAAGCTGACTGATGGGAAATTTCTTGGCTCATTCATCATTTAATTAACCCATTCTTCCTGAACTAATTGGATTTGTTTTCTGCTATTTGTATTCTTGATCAACATATGTGCCGTCCTCACGTGTGGGATGAAGTATTTCAGGTCTTGTCTTGGATGTCTTGAAGTCAAATGCAATTGTCCTAGTGATACACAAAAACATTTTAATATATTTTTAATATATTTTATATATGTTTAATATGTTTTATTATATATTTGTTTAAATTCTAACAAGCATTAATGTCTTCAGCTTTCCATCAAGTTAAGGTCAGTCCTAAAAGTTTCTGACATAAGTTTGTTGAGCAACTATGCTCTAGGTGTGTGCATTTCATATCAGTAGCATAAACAAATAAATAATGTGTCAGTGGTGATGGTTAGATGCTATGTGGTCTGAATGTGCCAACCCTTTTATTTTGTGTCTCGTGATCTGCTGTGCCATCACTCATTGAATGGGTGGCTCTACTGCTGCTAAAACAGTATATTCCTTCAAAGTCCCTGTTACAGTCTGATTGGCTGACGAGAGCCATGACCTTCAAAGATGTCATCAATCATCAATGGGTGTATCAGCCTTTATTGACCAAAACTGTACTGAATTCTCAACAGTTCATAAAAACTAAAGGTACCGGTTGTTGCCATTTATTGATTTTCTGAGGTGAAAACCACATGAGATTTATTAAAAAAAGAAAAGGGATACAAGGAAGAAGAGAGTTTCAATTGGTAAATAAAATGTCTGGTCTCATACGTTCATCTTATTTAATCGCTAAACTGTATTGTACACAATTGATGATCTCTAAGTGTCTTGTAAATTGCATCTTGCAGTCTGACACTTAGCTTAATGGATTCAATATCCAACAGATTCTTTGTTTCCGTTAACATTTCAGTGTTAGACAGACAATCTGGACTGTGGAAATGTATGAGCTCGGAATTATTTAAGTGAAATTCAAAAGTGATGGCAGTGTGCAGTTACCCTCTGCACAGCTTTTAATAACTGTTTACTTGCCCTACACAGAGGCCCTGTTCCTCAGTGCGTTTTTAGTATTTATTCAGAGATTCTACAGAGGAACAAAGAGCTTTTAGACCCTGACGTTGGGGTCGGGAATTTGTCTAAACATGTAACAATGTGGCCACTGTTTAAAGTATCGCGCCTCAATCCTCTGAAGAATGTGTACATGACATAATCCCCAGAATGCGCTAAGTTCTTGAAGTATTTCAGTTTGCCAAAATGACATTTTGTTCTGGAAAGCCGGGCCATGAGAAATCTGGACTTTATTTGGGTCGCCTGTGACTTCCTCTCACTGGGGCTTTCACTGGCTGAATGGAGTCAGCGATCCGTCACCAATGGGTCATTCAGTTGTGAATATTAAGTTGTGCCAAATGACGAGAAATTTGTCACGACCAGTGGAGTCTGGATGTTTTACAGGGAACACCATTAGGAGCAAGTAAATATCTATTTAGCACATTTTGCTATTTAGCACATGAATTACACTTGTATTCCTGACATGAATTGAAAAAAGCTATCCCTGGAATATCACTTTACTGTTTAACCCTAAAGCCACTAATTAATAAAGAATAATCCCTTTCTTCTATAATATATCACAACTGAAATCATAAACCTTTACTCTGAAAATTATATACTGTTGCATCATGTTTTTATTTAAAATGTGCAATAAAAGCAGGCGATACAGGTTTTAACTCAGCTCATTTCCTAAGAATATCCAACTGAGTTGCCATCTCTCCGGAGTAGCATTGCCTCCAGCAGAAAAACTGGCAGCGTGTTGCTGTTCCCAGTTAGGGTGTGTTAACATTAAGATTCAGATTCCATGGGAAACAGGTAACAGGAGAGCTCATTACCTGCTGCAGCTCAGCTGCACCTCCAGCCCCTGTCCAGAGCTGCAGTCGTCTCACTCTCACTTCTGCACTCTCACTGGCTCTTTTGTGTCATTTGCACACAGAGGTGATTGAGTTGCATTCAAGGCTCTGCGGCTCCCAACCCCCTCTTCAGCGCACCACTACGGTCACCCAGGGTGTGTTCCCTCTCTATGTGTAGAAGACAAACAAATGTTGCCTGGCAGGGCAACTGAGAGACTCGCCTGTGTGAGGAGGGTGTTAGTGAAGTAAGGGGCCCTTGAGGTCTGGGTTCCCTTTCAGGGTCCTTAAGGCCTGCAAGAACAGTCCTCAGTCTGTGATAGGGCCGGCCTGCGTCAACAAGTTCAGGAGCTTGTAAGTCAAGACAAACAGAGGAGTGTGCCCACTGTTTCAGACTGTGAGCAGACTGACTGTGGATGACTCCTGATCCTTGGACTTAAAAGTCG